GTGACTTTGACCTCGTAGCAGTCTTGTATCGTAAGCTTAAGCACAAATAGGGGTCCGCTAAGCTTGAAAACATATCAAAACATCTCGGAATTTAGTATACAAGATATAAGAAAAAGTGCAAAGTTTGTGGTCAATTTTGAGCATGATCGTGACCTTGAATTTGAATGTTATGCACATCATCGGAATCCACGGATTCTCTTCTTTTGTTCAACATCCCTTTTAGCCGATTTTATGCACCATGCCGTCCTCTGGAACACGTACTTTGAGACCACTACATTAATGCCGGTTTTTGCCTTTGACCTTGAATTCTGACCTTGAAAACTGACCTGAGGTCAAAAAGTTTCGGTGCTTTAGAATCTTCTCATAGATACTTTTCGTTTGGTACCATTTTTTTCAGTAGCTGCCTTATTAACGGAGTTAAACAGGGGGGGGGCTACCCCGGGCTGCGGTGGTTAGGATTACCCCCGGGCCGCCCGGCCGAAATAAAACTATAAAACTAGATTGCGAGACACAAACCTGTGAAAACTACTGAAAACGTTATGTTGTTCGTTGAGATGTAAAATGGTGTGTTCCTCAAAACTATAGTCAGTACCTATTTCTCATTTTCCCCGTAGTACGTATATATGTGCGATTCTCTCACATACGATTGATATAGGTACGAGAATAAGCTCCATTAGGGCGACCCGCATACAATTCCAGATAACCCGGGATATACATACCTATCACATTTTGTCATACCTCTCTGAGCTCAGTCTCAGTCTAAGGGTTCCCAAAAGAGGGTGATCTCTTCTCTGGCCGACATTTGATAAACTGCTTCTCAACCTCCTCGAGATTAAGCTCTAGGGCAGCCTTTTGGTGAATGAAAATGAGTAGGAGAATGAGTGGGAGTACGAGATATGCGACAGACGGTCCGAGAACGAACGTTCTGCTGACGCACTTGATACGAGGACCGTCAAAAACAGGCGTACTATTATAACCGCCTATAATGAATGTTGCACCGGTCTTCTGTTCCCATACATCAGCCAAATTTTGTGGGGGCAAAAACATAGTCTTGCCCCCACGGCCTCCTGCCAGTGGGGGCAGTCTGCCCCCACTGCCCCCACGGTGGCGCCGCCCTTGGTTATGAGTGTGTAAACACAAAATTGTGATTGCCGCGTTTCCCGCGTCGGCCGATGCCGCTTCAGCCGGCGACATCTTACCCTTAGCAGGGTTCTAACTGCCATATTTATTGTTGGATTATCTATAAATTCACCATACATACCAGTGGCGCGGGAACCGGGGGGGCTAGGGGGGGGGCTGAGCCCCTCCAACTTTTCGGCTGGGGGGGCTCGTAATGTATTTGAGCCCCCCCCCCCAGCTGGAGGAATCGAAATCGGAAATCTACCAACACAATTTCATAGATTCATACATAGGCGCGGGAACCGGGGGAGAGGGTAGTGGCCTGGGGGAAGCTTGCCCTCACAACTCTGGGGCCGTGGGGGCGGTGCCTCACAACTTTTCATGAGGCCAGGAACCGTTGGGGCAGCTTGTCCTCCCCAAATTAGGGGTTGTGAGTGACAAAGGAAGAAAGCATGTGAGTGAAAAATCTACCTATTTCACTGAATCGGCAACTCATTTGGCAGCTTAAAACCTTTATTCCAGGCTACCAAAACGGTAGTTTCTTCACTCAGCTGAGATGGAATACCTCACTTTTTTGCAAATATTTTCTTCTTTTTTTCGTTGAAAAGGCCAAGGTCTGAAAAATAAGTGGCCTAAAACCGATGAGAAAACTAGATTTGGGGGTACCCTAGGTTGATCTCTATGATGGTTCAGCCCCCCCCCCCCCCCCCCAGTCTGGAAGAAGTTCCCGCGCCACTGATACATACTCATAAATGTTTGCTCTTTCGTATAGTGAAAGATTAAAAAAATCGGCCGGTAACTTTTTGAGTTATCGGCGTGTAAGCGCAAAAAAGTCGCTAATATGGCAGATTTGACGACATTTGACCTCATTTGACCTTGAAGATATTGACCTAGGGTCATGAAATTCACACACAACAGAGTTCCCTATGGCCCCCACCTACCCTCCAAATTTCGTCTTTCTAGCTCCAGTGGGAGCTGAGATCTTAGGGGGGGGGGCGACATCCGCCCCCTTCCACTGGGCGTAGTACTCGCAACCCTTCCACTGCGCGTGTTAACCCGCGCACCGACGGGGGGGGCGGCCTCCGCCCCCCCCCCTGAGGTTTTTCGCGAATAGCGGGAAAACCGCGGCGCGTAGCGCCGCGAAATTTGGTACGACTATTCCCTCATCAATTTTACACATGGTGTGCAAGTTTGAACCTCCTACCTTTTAAGGTCAGGTCACCAGGTCACTTTGAATGACCTAACCTCAAGTCACTTTTTTGCAACTTTGTCACCGTGCCAGAGCTACAGTAGATGTCGGAGGCCTTTGAAAGTCGCAGGATGTGATTAGGTCATTAGTAGCTACAATTTGTTTATCTCGGAATTTTGATATCGGTGACCTAAGGTCAGGTCAATTTCGCGACCTCCCCATTATAAGTCAATGGGGGAAAAATCAACTCCCTATTTTTACCACTAAAACGGGTCGGAATGGCCCTATATACCATACATGACTTCATAAACGATCAACCTTCACTACCTTGAGGTCTGTTTTGCTGTTGGGCAGCTGTGAGGTCATGTGACGTCATCAAAGGTCACCAAAGGTTTTTGGCCAATAACTCCGTACAGGAACACGATACAGCCGCGTGGATGGTCTCATTGTGTTCAGCTCGTCAAGACGCATCGAATGATATACATGATGACCTCGAGGTCACGTGACCTGAGGTCAACCTTTGACCTTGACCTTTCGAGGTCAACATATATATCATTCGATGCGGATTGACGAGAGGATCACGATGATGCCCTTAGTTTGTTCCTATCTTGACTAATTCGAAAGTTATTCGAGAAAAACTCTCCATATCTAGCGCCGCCATTTTGACCTTTTCGACCCCTGTGACGTCATCTTTGACCTGACCTGAAAATGACCTTTGTAAAAATTGTAGATCTTGACCGTGCGTATCCGATGCCGTTTACCGCTTGTCGCTATCTTGCTTCGTTCTCGAGATCTCAGGGGGGGCGGTCATCCGCCCCCCCCCCCGTCGGTGCGAAGTTGGCGCAGACCCCCGTCGGTGCGCGGGTTAAGCAAAAAATCCGAGACATACAAGTTGTGAGACCTCGGAGTATGCTACGTCCTGTAAGCTTCATCTCCCTGTGAACGTTGGCACTGAGGCACTGATGGCACTGAGGGCGTTGCATTGCAACGTTGCGACATCTGAGGACCATGCAGAGGTTCACTTATGACGTCATAGGTCAACGACCTGACCTACCTGACCTGACCTGAAAATGCGATTGATTTAACAAGATCCGGCTTGAATCAAAGGTCAAGTATGCCAAGTTTCAGCTCTTTTTCGCCGGCGTGATGTGAGCTATCGCGTTAAAACCTATAAGGGGGCGGCACCCCCACCCCCTCGGCCTCGGGGGGCGGGGCGTGACTTATGCAGAATTTCACATTAACTCATGTGCAATACTTCTCAATTTTTTTTTAGGAAACAAAATGTGTTTGAGGTTTCACGAGACCAGACCGGCCGGATCGCCCACTGTGCATCGCCTGAGGCCTTTCCGGTCACGTGACAGCTCATCCTCCGGTCAATTAGAATGTTTCTGACCCACGAGATAACACTGGCTGGTGTTACTGTCATCACTTGAAATAATATAAGCTAAAATGCAGGCTGATTTGTTCGCTCCCGTCACCATGGAGCTAATAAAGGCTAGACAGCGTATTGCAAAATGTTGCATAGCAGCAAATGGCGCAAGTTTGCGCACTTTTTTATTGCTTGGCCGGTTCAATAACATCACAATGCACATTGTGACACGCAATTTAGAGCGCGACCTGGGGGAACTCAAAAGATCGGCTTTAACATAGTGAGTGATATTAATTTTAACCTTACCAAATAACTCGATGATATGTTTATCTCTCATGCTGCTCAATGATTTTCGTTACCTCATTTTTCGTTGCGCGGAAATGATCGTAACATGTCACAGAGCAACTCATAAAACCACTGGCGTGTAAAACTCACGCACATAGGATCCCCATGGCATCTACTTTGACTCTTCAAACACCCGAAAACTATGACTTGTCTACGGCCTAAGAAATCTTTGTGTTTGAAGCCCCTTTCACCCTATACGAAGGTGTTACATGACCAGATAATGGTCATTTATATAATGTATGGACATTTTGTAGTCGATTGGTATGTTTTTTGTTTTTATAAAAACAATTTTTTTTTTTTTTGCTCTGTATGAGGCTAGACCGGCCCGAACGCCTACAGTGCAGTGGGTGCGGGTTAAAAGAGCTATGGAATGCGATCTTGCGGCGCTGCAGCTCTACCGTTACTGATATTTGCGCCGGTTGGTCGAAAATTATCGAGGTTTGACCTGGAAAATGGAGAAATTTTACTTTCGGTGACCTGGTGACCCGACCATTGACCTGACCTAAAAGTGACGGAAGTAGTTTCTTCATTATTTTCGAACACCGCCTACGGCGTGTCGCTACCTGGCCCAGGAGCAGATTTTGAAAAGAGAGGTGTTCACCCTTCCCCCCCCCCATCCCGGCAGGGTCTGGAAATTCAGGACCCCAGCGGGGTGCGGATTAAATAACAAATATGACGTTTTTATTTAAAAAACGCAACTTTTTAAAAAGGCCATCGAACGTTTTCGACAGAAATTACATAATTGAAATCAGCTCACCATCAGCTTTCGAATGGTATATTTTCCTTCTTTTGTGGATCCCGTGACCTTCCGACGAACCGCGCCTCGCAATAAAAGCCTGTTACTGACGGTGAAAGTGTCCGTCCCTGACGATAAGACTGTCTGTTACTGGACGGTAAGAGCACATGTCCCTGACGGTAAGAGCGCATGTCCATGATGGTAAGAGCGTATTACTAACAGCAAGAGCGTCTACCACTAACCTCCAGCGGCGTCATGCTGGAGCGTCCAACGGACTGGCGGACTGGGCTGAGATGACTGTCAGTCACCACCGTGCTGAGAGCAGTCAGCAGGTGAACAGTGGCCGGTGGCTGACGCTCCGCCTCGGTCCGACTGCAACACGGCACGCACGGCAGTTAGCCGTCTCTATACGGACCGGTGATCAGAGACGCAGATCAGTGACGCAGACGGTGAGCACACTCTATACGGACCGGTGATCAGAGACGCAGACGGTGAGCAGACTCTATACGGACCGGTGATCAGAGACGCAGACGGTGATCAGAGACGCAGACGGTGAGCAGACTCTATGCGGACCGCGTCGTGTTTCGCTCTTCAACCGAATAGCTACCTCTGCTGCCACTGTCTACTATTGCCACTCTACACACTCGTAAGTCACACTTTGCTGCACCTCACCACTAACAATCTACACAAGACAACACACACATACGCCCACACAACACCACCAACCAACACCACCTCCACAACACCCACGCACCCCACACACCCACCTCACCTCCCTTCCCCCACCATGTCCCGTAACCCTTCCCCTACCTCCGCCTCCTATCCCTCGTCCTCTGCTCCTGCCCCATCCTTGGTCCGCATCCGCCGCATGGACGGCTCTCCTATGTCCGACCTCTCCCCCTGGGCGGTGGGGGACGCACTCTCGTCGGCGATCGGGCGCTGTCCCCGTGCCCGGCCGCTGCGAGGGGGCGACCTCCTCGTCACCTGCGAGGCGTCGGAGAAACGGTCTTTGCTCGGTCTCCGGCGAATCGCAGGTGCAGAGGTGAAGGTGTGGGCTCCGCCCCACCTGAACCAAAGCCAGAGAACCAATTACTCCCCATCCCTCCAACACCTATCCCTTTCTGAACTCGAGGAGGGCTTCTCCCGGGTGGGCGTTACCGCCGTGTATCGCCCGCCCCGCTCTCCTAAGATCCTTATCCCCACCTTTAGCACCTCCGAACCTCCCCCTACATCCTCGCTGCCTACCTGTCCTTCCCCGTCCGAGCTGTCCTCCCCAAACCTCTCCGCTGCCGGCGGTGCCAGCGCTACGGACACCGCCAGCAGCACTGCCGATCCGACTCCCCCACGTGCTCCAACTGCGCCGAGGCGGGGCACGAGTCCTCATCCTGCTCCTCCCTCGATCCTCTGTGCGCGGGCTGTGGCGGCGCCCACCCCGCGAACAACCCATCCTGTCCCCGCTGGGCTTTCGAGGCCCAAGTGACCCTCCTCATCCATCGGGATTGGGATCCCCGCGACGCTCGCGCGTATAATACAGGGTGTCCCATAAGTTCGTTCTCACCTTATATTTGCATGTGAAACAGAGTACAGCCCACCGCTAAAGTAATGTGGGGTTTTACCAATCTCAACGATTGGCTTTGACTGGCGATTGTTTAATGCGGAGTGATCGAAAAGAAGATGTCAATAGCTAAAATTGCAGCTGCAAGGGTGACGATACATATAAGCTACATTCAAAGTTTCATTGTAGTCTGGCTAATCGTTCCTAAGCTTCAGAAGCAGAACATACCCATGACTGAAACCCCACATTACTTCTGCTGTGGACTGTACATTGCGTTTTGATATGTTTATGACCCCTCAATGTGCTTCCCATTTCAAAGGTAAACACATGAATACATGCTGCGGCATGCCAACCGGCATGTTTGGCAGCACAGCTGGATTGAAGTTAGCCCAAACTGACTTGACGTGCGCCGTGAGCTCCTCGAGGCTGGAACAGCGCTTCGCTTCGACGAGCCTCGATTTCAATATTTCCAACACATTTTTATGAAATCTTGATCCGATGAGTTGCCTGGGATGTGATCTTGCTACAGACGCCTATCACAGTCTCCTGGCACTGCTTTTAAAGGAAGACTGCCACCTTCAAAAAGTTTTCTCAGATCGGCCTATGATTTATTCCCTGGACAAAACAAAATTTTATAATTCACCTGACAAAGTATCATCACGTGAATCGCGAAAAAAATTGTCGATTATCATACAATTATCAATCGGTTAATGTCTAGCGACAATGTTTACACATCACTAGACTTCAAGGTCATAAGATTATTACATTTTATTTGAAAAAGTAAGGTATTTTATGATTTACTAACATATGATTTCATAAGAAATTGGCCATGTTTAATTTATTTTGCATTTAAGTTCGTAAAACATTTAAAAATCATGGCTCATTTGGAATGGGTCTGGCCCATATTAAACCCCATTTCCCACACTTTTTTGGAAAAATGAACTACTGAATATATAAGTTTAACTTTTATTTTGACACTCCAAAATTCTTCTCTGATCTCGAAACAATCAAAGTTTTGACATATATTTACCAAAAGATAAGAAAATTCATGTTTCAAAGTTATCGATAAACAGTAGAGATGTCGGTTTTCTTGGACTAAAAAAATGGCATCAAACTGAACTTTGGTCTCCGATTTCTCGCAAACGGGTTCGAATTTCGGAAAACCGACTTCAGTCTGGGACATAGGTGGCTCAGCTCTAGTGAAAACCGTTTTGTGGAAAAAAGGTGGCAGTCTACCTTTAACCCGCGCACCGACGGGGGGCGGATATCCGCCCCCCTAAGGTTTTTCGCAAATAGCGGAAAAACCGCGGCGCGTAGCGCCGCGAAATTTTGTACGACTATTCTCTCATCAATTTTACACATGGTGTGCAAGTTTGAACATCCTATCTTTTAAGGTCAGGTCACCAGGTCACTTTGAATGACCCAACCTCAAGTCACTTTTTTGCAACTTTGTCACCGTGCCAGAGCTACAGTAGATGTCGGAGGCCTTTGAAAGTCACAGGGTGTTATAAGGTCATTAGTAGCTACAATTTGTATATCTCAGAATTTTGATATCGGTGACCTAAGGTCAGGTCAATTTCTCGACCTCCCCATTATAAGTCAATGGGGGAAAAATCAACTCCCTGTTTTTTACCACTAAAACGGGTCGGAATGGCCCCATAAACCATACATGACCTCATATACGATCAACCTTCACTACCTTGAGGTCTGTTTTGCTGTTGGGCAGCTGCAAGGTCACGTGACGTCATCAAAGGTCAACAGCGGTTTTTTGACAATAACTCCGTACAGGAACGAGATACAGCCGCGCGGATGGTCTCATTGTGTTCAGCTCGTCAAGGCGCATCGAATGATATACATGATGACCTCGAGGTCACGTGACCTGAGGTCAACCTTTGACCTTGACCTTTCGAGGTCAACATATATATCATTCGATGCGGATTGACGAGAGAATCACGATGCTGCCCTTAGTTTGTTCCTATATTGACTAGTTCGAAAGTTATTCGAGAAAAACTCTCTCCATACCTAGCGCCGCCATTTTGACTTTTTTGACCCCTGTGACGTCATCTTTGACCTGACCTGAAAATGACCTTCGTAAAAAATTGTAGACATTGTCCGTGCGTATCCCTTGCCGTTTACTGCTTGTCGCTATCTTGCTCCGTTCTCGAGATCTCAGGGGGGGGGGGCGGTCATCCGCCCCTCCCCCCGTCGGTACGAAGTTGGCGCAGACCCCCGTCGGTGCGCGGGTTAAGCTTTGCTTGACCTCTGCACTGATGGACTGTCTTGCTTGAAGATGGGCCTACGACCTCCTGCATGCTATTTTCTCCTCCAAAAATGTGTTCATACTTTCGGTTCGAGTTAACCCTCGCCCTGGCAGGGCATTTTTCATAACACGGCCTGGCAGGGGGGGGGGGTCGATGCGACCCCCCCCCCTCGCGATTGGCTCCTATGGCACCTAGAAACACCAAATTTGGTAGGTAGGTGGGCTCCCTGGAGTTCTCGCCCCTGTGCAAATTTGGTTGCTCTAGGTCAATATTTAGGGGGGTTTTGGGGGGTATAAATGTAAAAATTTCGCTAAAAACAGGTCAAAAGTTTTTCGCTTATAACTTTTGATCTAATTAAGATAGAGCAAAAAGAAAAGCACCAGTGAACTCAGCACGTCAAGGCGCGTCGAGTGATATACTTTTTAGCTTGTTTAAGTGTACTTCAAGTTTTTCTTAAATTTTAAGTAAACTTAAATTTATAAATTAAGTTCAAGTTAACCAAATTGCGTCATATCGTATATCATTCGATTCGGCTGATCACCAGGAACACAATGATACCATTTTTTAAGCTCTAGCGTCATTATGTGCCAAGTTATTGACAAAAACGTCATTTGACCTCAGTTGACCTCATTTGACCTGACCCATGGATAAGAACAACAAACAAAGAAGCACCAAGTGACCTGCTGTTAAGTACTGTGATTTCAAAGCACAAAAATGATAGAACGAAGCGGATAACTCCAGTATTTTCCGAATTTAGTATTTTCCCATAGGCTTAACATTACGACGTAATGACCTCTAACTGACCTCAGGTCAGTGACCTCAAAAAACCCGAACTATATGTTATACAACTCGGTGAACTTAGCACATCCTGAAAGTTTGAAGGAAATCAGTCCAAAACTGTGAGTTGGACAGGTGCAAACAGAAAATTGAAATTTGACCATGACCTTGTACCGGTTTTTCTGACCTGGTGACCTGACCCAAGGTCACCCGGACCTGAAATTTTCAGGTCATATGTAAAAAAGTTGCCCCATAGGCTGTGCCAAATTTGGTGGCGCTGCGCGCCGCCGTTTTTACGCTATCTTCGAAAAACCTTAGGGGGGGTCGCATCGACCCCCCCCCTGCCAGGGCGAGGGTTAAGCTAGAAGCCTGAAACTCCTCCTAGATCTTCTTAGAGAAGCATTCTGCGTCCCAACACTGTTTCTGGAGTATCAATCGCAACCTGCTCAGTGCAGCGTCTGGACGCATATTACCCCACATTACCGTGACCCTGGCCTTTTGCATAGGAATAAAGCGGGATGACACGAAGGCCTTTCCGTCGCCCATATGGGACCGTTTTGGGGTTTGGACGGGTGTTTTATCCTTGGTTTTATCTCGAACACGGAATAGGTAGTCCAGATGACCACATCAAACATCGGCCCTCCAGTGTTGCCTCAGGCATAACGAAACAAATGTTTGGCCATTTTAAGACATTTTCGACTGTTTTGCGTCCTCCGTTAAAGGGACCCTCCCACCTTAACATTAGATTTGAGTTGAGATAGCCAAAATGGGGTCCCTGG